TATGAATTTTCTTACAGTTTTGGCGACCCCGACGTTTGCTGCAAGTCGAGTAGTGAGCTGTTCTGGTGTTTCGGCTGCTAGGCTTTGCGGTGGAGGCGCCGTATCGACGTTCGTTCTGGGCGCCAGAAAACAGGTGAGCAAAATCTTTTTTTGCTTTCCATCTTGACATGCAGACAGGACTGAACGACGATGTTTTTCCACCAGCTGGCGCATGGAGCTGGGGGTTAGAGGAGCCCCGCTAAGTGTTAGCTTTGCTGGGCTAAGGCTGTGTGTCAGCTCAGCAAAGGCAGCGTGGTATTGAGCATAGTCAAAACAAACGCTGATTAATGCGGACGGTTACAAAGACGRTTTAAAAGCGTTTGAACATAACAGTCTGTGGGGGTTTAAAACCATACAATAAATTGGGCCCTTTAGGAAGTAAAATCTGTGTTTTAATATATTTTTTGGTGTGTGTTGCGTGTAAAAATATTACTCTTTYGTCAGGCCTTTTCATGAGCTCTTTTCCGAAAACCTGGGTGCGTCTTCTGTAAAAGACGACACTTGTCGAGGTGGGGTCAAGATAAGATTATGTGGTGGCATGCGTAAAGGGCAGTTAGAAGTGCCCAWGGGAAGGAAAAATCCATGCGTCTTATTTTGAGACTTGCTGGTGGCGAATTCTGTATGAATATAAATCCTTAAGAGAGGTCAGATACRGGTGCATTGGGAAAGAAATCCAGGAGTCAAACTCTTTCTCTTTCTATCCTTTTATATGTATTTGAGTGTTGTATGTTCTAGGAAAAATTTTAGGCCTGTTAAGTAAATCATAGATGTGGTTTTTAGGTAGAGGGGTGACTGTTGAAAGGGCCTTGAAAGACAGACAGCTTGAATGACATCTGTTTCAGCAGACTAAACCATTAGACAAACACCTTGGAATATAATAGAATAATAAGAATGCTGTGTCCCTAAAAAGATGGAGAGTACAAATTGGCTGGAGAGTGGCTGAGATTGCACGCTTTAGACAAAACATTTYTTGCTGAATAAACCTTGTCTACTTATTTACGTKGAATGGTTTCAGAAAGGGTTTGAAAACTGAAGGGGTAATAACTCAGCATTAACTAAAACTTTCTGGTGTCTTTARTTCTTCTTCTTCATGATTTCAGAATAACAACGATAATATTAAAACTTGAACCTGACAATAAATTGTGTTGGTTGTGAAATATATAAAAGAAGGCGAGGTTAGCAGGGAAAATTGATAATAGTTCGGAGTTAAATCGGATTGTTAGTTTACATATGGAACTAGTAATTACGCTTTTACTTTGAACTTATTAATCTCTTCAACAGTGATAATATTTCAAAGTCGACAATCTTTGGAATAAAACAAGTTCGATCAAAAGGGAAAATTTGGACTCTGTCTCATCACTTGGGTGTTAAGGATTAGTCAGCAGCCTTTGTCTAAAAATACCCTCCAAAATGGATCGGTCTGGCATAAACATGGGCGCCGGACAAAAGCGATTGGTTACCATAGGCCATCAGACAGAATGTGAGTTAGACATGGGGATGGGGAAAGTGTCAACAAAGATTGTGACAGTTTTACATCAAGCACAGTGTACTGATGGTCAGCTGAAAGAGCTTATAGACAGATTAAATGAACTGGAGATAAAAGTAAATAAACTAACTCAAGGGTTACTATCACAGCCATTTCGGGAAGAGGGGCAAAATAATGTGACTATGGGAAAGAGAAAACGTCTCAGATTAGGAAAAGTTCAGAGAAAAATTCAGCGGG